CAGCAACTCCATTTTGTTGTGAAGTGTGAGAGCAAGAAGTCTGAAGAATAATGCCATTAAGAGCACAAAATTTTGAAACATCACTTTTCATATATTCCAAAGCATTATCAGTATGAAGAATACGAACAGAAGTAGAGAACTAAGTTTTTATTTCATTATAAAAGAGTTCAATAACGTGCGAGACCTCTGACCTCTCTTTTAACAGATAAAGCCACATCATGCGAGAGAAATCATCAACAAAGATAATAAAATATTGAAAACCTTGCACAGAGAGAACACGATAAGGACCCCACACATCGGAATGAACCAACTCAAAAGCAAAACTACTACGTTTATCGACTCGACTCTGAAAAGTAGCACGATGGTGCTTACCCAGTTCACACGACTCACAACCTAAAGAGAAAATAGATGGCTGAACAGATACTAACGATCTATGTTTTTGTAGTGAAGGATGACCCAGACGCCAGTGCCACAATAAAGTGGAGTCAGACTTTGATGCAACAAGGCTAGCTTCTGGCACACTGTCGTCCAAATAGTACATACCTCTTCTCTCATGCCCCGAACCAATCTTCATCCCAGTTGCTAGGTCCTAAAAAACCCAATAAGATGGAAAGAATGTGACTTTACAATTATTTTGTTTTGTAAACTTGCTAATGGATAATAGGCTAATAGGGAATTTGAGAACATATAACACATCAGTTAGTTTTAAAGAGGAAGTAGCATGAACTACTCCATCACCACGAACTGGAGAAAGAGTACCATCAGCAATGCGGATAGAAGGAAACTTATCAGAAAGATGTAAAGATACAAAGTGATCCTTTATACCTGTCATATGAGATGAGGCTCCAGAATCTAGAACCCAGGGTTTGTGAGAAGAAGCTATGTAAGCATCCATATCTGAAGAGGATGCATGAGTAGCAGAATGAATATTCTGAGAGAGTTCTAGCTGGCACAACCTCTCATAATCTGCCTGAGAAATCTGAACAGTAGGAGCAGTAACAGCTGGACCACCAGAAGTAGTAGCAGAAATAGATGAGTTATTCGACTCTGTATCAGCTACCTGGGCCCACTGAGGATGACCAAACTTCTCTCAGCACTTCTTAGAAATATGATTGGTTCTCTCACAATGACCACACTGTTTTGAGCCCTTATCAGATTCACCTTGCCTCCCACCAAAGGAACCACGTCCTCCCCCTGAATCACGGCCACGACCACGACCACGGTCTTTGCCTCGATTAGAGAACATAGCAGACTGATCCGTCGTAGGTGGAGATGGTGTAGTAGTATCAGAAGTAACACCAGTAGAGACATGCATGACTCTGGAGAATGTAGCAGTCAGTGAGGGAATTGTATCTCCACCCAATATCTTTCCTCTCACCTGAGACTGTAAATTAGGGTTCAACCCAGAAAAAAATTTGGATACTGCCAGATCACGACGATACCGTAATAGCGTCGCTACATCAGCTACTGCAGGCTGATGCATCTCTAGTTCGTCTATCAGTCCCTTCAATTCACCAAAGAATTTTGGAACTGACTTATCTCCTTGTTTGAATGCAAACAGTCGTTCATAAATTTCAAATACACGAGAAACATTTTTCTCGTTCCCGTACATAATCTTTAGGCTGTCCCACATATCCTTCGCAGTGGTTAAAAATATAACGCTGCTACTGATCTGTGCTTTCATACTATTGAGAAGCCAAGTCATAACACAATAATCAGATGAGAGCCATGAATTGTAGGTGGGATCTGAGGTTGGTGGTGGAGATGCAAGAAGATGTGGTAGTTTGCTCTGAGCGTCAATGAAGATGCGGAAAGCTTATGCCCAGAGCAGATGGTTTGCACCATTCAATTTAATAGTAGTTCCCAAGACTATCTTGGGTGCAGAGGTCTCACCAGCAATAATATTAGAAGGAATAGTAGAGGAGGAGATGTCCGACATCGAAGTAGTATTCATTTTTATTTTTGAGCAATAATAGGAGACAAATAGTAGTCAAATAGGCAGATTAGTAGTAGAGATCCGTTTTCGAAACATAAACTAAGAGCATATCAGGAGCAGGATTAGAGGCAGAGAGGTAGATAGTCATGCCCTCACGCTGCGTAGGCGAGATCACCTGAGGGAGAGAGCCATGGCTTTTGTTTGCACAAAGGCTCAATTTTTATATTCTTGTTTCTCGAAGGAAACAAGAATAAAAGTGAAATATCTCAACAACGTGAGATAGACACTCTTCCTCTCATCAGTTCTATGACTGAAATGTTGAGGGATACAATCGTCCTCTCATCAGTTCGAAGACTGAGATGTCGAGGGAATAAGCAACACGATGTAGGGGGCACTGTAGCAACGGCGGTACTGTAGCAACGGGTGGTGGTACTGTAGCAGCGGGGCGGCTAGGGTTTTTGAATGAAGATTTGTGACGGCTAGGGTTTCATGCTCTGATACCATGTAGAGAATAGAGAGAACCCTAATAATTTATTGAGAATAACAAGAGAGATATATATAGCCATACAAATAGGGTTAAGGTTAACGGGCCATTAACCCAATACCCAATATTTAACTTAACACTGACATTTCATTGTTATATATGCCTTTAATATAGGTCTTCCATGCAAAATTTATGATCTAATTGACTGATGAACATCAGTATGATTGCCTAAATATTGTTGCAGGTCTTAAAAATATTGTAGTAAAGTTTAAGCATATGCTACATTAATAAAAGGGAAACTTAAGATCTCTTTGATCCCATTACAAGTGTACAGTCAACTGTTTACATGTATATATATGTTACTAATATAAGTCATGCCGACCTTTTCAGTTAAATTGTATCCTGAAAGTATCAAATCAATTGATTATTCTGTAAATTACAACAATGTTACATTGTTTCATTCGGGAGTTTAAGGATATTAGTTTTCATGGAATTTCTTCAGAGTCTAGATCCTCTACAAATAAGATTGTAGAGGACGCCTGTAAACTTAAGATATCTATTAATTTTTTTAGTATACTTTAAATAAAGAATAATATTGTTGAATATATATATATATATATATCATCACACCTCGAAGATAGAGCCTCAACCACCCTTCACCAACTCCAATGTAGATGTAGGGACAAGATTAAGCCACATCACTACCAAGTTGTTTGGAGCAACTTGGTACCAAGTTTCTCCATTTTTCTCTCTCTATATATATATATATATATATAGGGAGAGGTTCTAATAAAAACCTAGAGAACTAAAAACTAATTAATTGTAAAGCACGAACATAATTAATTGTAAAGAAAACGTGTTTAAAATAGTGTGTAAAATTGTGGTGAAGAAGTCATGATTTGGAGAGGAGAATTGTTAGAATCATGTGAAAATTCACGCCACGTTCCCTATTTGAGCTCTGGCAAACATGAGGCAAAAGATGTGTAAATTACGTATCTTGTGTACAATGGTTAACCTACAGTGATTTAAGTTACAAAATAATTAAGAACTTTAAATATATACCACAGGCTAGATTATATATATTGAGATATCATAGCCTTTATTGGACGCAAATAGGCCAGTCATATTGTTTGTGTAGTTGAGCCCTAGTTATATTGGAAGATTTTCCTTAACATGATAGTTAACCATTAATGTCTTTGGTCAAAGAGTAGATATTCATTCACCAAACTTGAAAAGTGATGTTACATCGAGAACTCGGGCATACCCAAGTGTACAAGAGGAGCAAAAGGAATTATAGAACAAATAAGAATCCCTAAACTGGAAAGGTAAAATACATCAGTTACGTACAATTGATAAACCCAAGCATAAAAGTTACCAGGTATTGCATTCTGTTATAGTATTATAAGGATAGTAGTCATGGTAACTTTGACAACCTGCTCTACTTGTAAAGCTATGACATTGTGAGTCCTTTGATATCTTTCATGCCATATAGCATACACAGTCGAGGAAGTGCAGACCTCTTTACCTTTTGATCATATTATTTCCTCAACTGAGCAGTGAACCAATGAAGAATATGACTCCATTAAGTGTTGGATACCAAAAACCAACCTGTACATGATAGAAGTCCACATAGTAAAAGTATAAGGACATTGGAAGAAAATTGAGACAGGCTCTCGGTGCTAGAGTTGCAAAAAACACACATGGGATGCGCAACAACAATGCCAAACTTCGGAAGCCTATCGAATGTGAGAAGCTTCTGATGCATCACCAACCATAGAATAAAAGAGCACTAGGGATGGTGATATATATTCCACACAACGGCCCCAGTTCACCTTGGGGACAGTGGGGAGCAAAGCATTATAGGCAAGAGCAACTTCGGAATCACCTTCCACAATCCAACTATGCATAGCATTGATAACTCCTCCTGCTGAGCCCCATTTCTGAAGAACAATAGATCTAAGTTTGAGTAGTTGCTTCCCTAACCAAGATACATTTTGATATAGAAGAACATCCCAATTAAACAGTATCTCTCTTAAGATAGGTACCATGGAAACATGATAATTAACCTTTTAATAGGAAAAGTTCACTTTTGAAGGAGAAGAAACAAAACGAAGCACAAATCCCAGAGGGTTAGCATATTATGCACTTAATGAGGTTTTACATGTATTTATAATGATAACCCTTTTTTTCCATATGCTTGACGGACAAATGTGACGTATAGACTGAGAAGGTTTTCATACACTATTTATAAAGGGTGATGAGCAGGTACAAGCTGCTACCCCAAGTCACATTGTGAATGCCTTTCTCTCAATATTTTCTTTCTTTGTTAAAAAATAAATTTATAGTTGCTACTTATGTCGGATTGGTGAATTATTGAAATGTTATATTAATTGTCTTCATTACATATAATATATGATAGCAAGTACCATAGGCACTTCCAAATTATAAATATAATCGAAGGGTTTTAACTTGTGCATGAATTATCTGAACATTATCTTCTTCTTATTTATATATATATACATGACTAAATCTTATCTTATGGATTAATGCAATACCTCTATTTTGAAACATGCTGCATAGGGAGGAGATACAAAGAATCAAGGCTGCAAATCCGGAAATGCCACACCGCGAAGCTTTTAGCACTGCTGCAAAGAATGTATGATCTTTTTGTGAACTCTTTTTTTTTTAAGTTTTCTATTTTGAATTAGTATTAACTAATTTTTCTTGATTGTTACTAGTGGGCGAAGTGTGAGCCTCGTGGACTAATTTGTTCGACTGCTGAGAAGGATGTGACTCCTAAAGCAATTGCTCTTGAGCATGTAAGCTTCAGCTTGCATATAATCTTTGAAATTTGCGTCAAGGGTTTCCTTGGCATTAACTTTTGGCGTCTTATTTTTTATTTTTATTTTTATTTTTTTATTTTTTTATTTTTTGTAGGAGAAGACAAATGGGCTCTTGATGAAAAGCTTTGATGTCTTCAAACAAATTGAGCACAGGATATAGTTTTATCTAGTGATCGAATCTACCTACTCCCATGAGAATCCTTTGACCTTAATTATGATCTTGATGTGTGTTGTTTATTTCTTAAGGGTACTGTATCCGACCATATAAAACCTCTTTAGTAACTTGATTACGATCTTCGCAGAGGGCTTAATTTCTTGCATAACATCTTCCCCCTCAGTTACCTTTCCCTTTCGCCATTTATCTGGATTAACTAGTGTGAGTCATGAGCTATACATAAAATTACCTTGTTGAGATCGAGTAACTGATAAATTTCTGTAAAGATTTTTATTGTGATGAAATTGTGGTTCTCGCTTACTTCAGAAGATATAGTCAGCAGCGAGATAATGTGTGAATTTAGGACCGCGGGAAAAAAAGAGGAAGAAAAGGACAAATAATTTGGAATCTGATGAGAAATTGCCCTAGTTCCTTAATTTGGGCATCTTTCCATATGCCAACCCATAAAAAGTCATAGTTTAAAATTTTTTGAAAAATCAAAAAGAAAATGCGAAATTTCTATTTACCAAGCATGTCAAATTAATTGACTCAGGATTAATTATGAATCGTGCTCATTCTGCTTTATTTGTAGACAACAACACTAATTCCTTTGGCTGCTTCTTCTTCTTCTAATGTCTTTGTCAGTTTTCAGACACAATCAAGAGTTATTTGCGGAAGATACCATACAAGACATGGACATATTGGAAAATGTAACAATTTGATTGATTGATTAATAAAGTGGAATTTTTTTGGTAAGTAAGTACATATCTTATTACCAATCTTCACTGAAGTCCAAACTAGCTATACACTCACAGTTATATTCCTTACAGATCAACGAACAAACACAGAAAACTCTCAAGTAGACCTCACTGAGACATCAACTTTACAAGAGTCTGAAAAAGACCTATACTCATATCTATACAGTTCCGCCTGGACTACAAGTAATATTTATATGCACTATTCTCTTCCATCTCTTCTACGTTGCGTTATACTTTCAGTGTTTTGACACAAACTCAGGATATATCACCATTGCTTTGCGCCATGCTCTATTTGCTGCACTATCCTTCATCTTCACCACTTTAGTACACTGTATCTTCATTTCAAATAAAATATGCTGGATAATCTCTTCCACAATAAGCTTTCTTCCTTGAAAGATGCATGGAATCCTAGCCCTCCAAACATGATATATGCACGCAGCAGCAGCAGCATTCAAGGAATGATGTCAAGCCACCTACAAGAGGGGTTAGACTCCTGCATGAAAGCATTGCCAACTCCCAAATTTGTAGACTGATCACTGCATTGAAAGAACAGATGATCGCTGTTCTCAATCACCACACCACATAGAGCACAAGAGTTATCCTCAAGTACCCCAATGTGTTGAAGCCTAGCTTTAGTAGGCAATCTATCAAGACAAGCCAACTAAGTGGTAAAAGTATGTTTCGGAATAGACAATCTATTCCATACAACATGAGCCCAGTGTTTCTTTTCAATTTCAACCAGTAGAATATGGTAAGTAGAAGAGGAGCTACACTCTGGCTTAGGTCCAAGCCATTTTATGTATCCCTCATCAAGAGATACACATGACAAAGCTTCATGCCTTAATTTGAGTATCCTCTTGAACGCCAAAGAGAATTCAGGCTTAATATCAATCTCCCACACATATTTCTCTCTAAGATAATAGCCATGCACCCACTTTACCTAGAGAGAGTTCTTCATGAGAGCAAGGGACTAGATCGATTTTTCATAACAAGACTTTTGTTCAAGGAAAAGATATGTTGTAAACCAAGCCCTCCACCTGTTTTAGGCCTATATAACTAAATCCACGCCACCTTAGCTTTAGTGTGCTGACCATAGGAGTCAGTCCATAGAAAATCTATGCAAAGTTGCTCCACATCATGTATAACTCCTTTAGGCTCCTAGTATGCATACATGCTATATATAACAGATTTGATAAGTTGAAGCCTGCTATCATAGGATATGAACCTAGAAGTCCAGTTCCTAGTTTTAGAGAGAATTCTCTCAATAAGAATAGCACAATCAGCAGATGTAGGCCCCTTGGAGGATAGAGGGATGCCCAAATATCTAATTGGTAAGTCTCCTTCAGAAAATCCCAAATGTTGCAGAATTGAGCCTTTAAGTGTAATATTGACTCTTCCAATGAAAACTTGACTTTTGGATAAGTTTGCACACAATCCAGAAACTTGGAGAAAAGTGAGAGAATTTTAGAGCCAAGTGTTTCATAGAACTAAGTTCTCCTTTACAAAATAACATCATATCATTAGCAAAGCATAGATGAGTAATCATGTTATTCTTGTACTTAGGATGAAAATGAAACTGCTTCACATCACCTAGATTAGTTAAGCTTCTGCTAAAGTATTCCATCACCAAGGCAAAAAAGATAAGGGAAGATAGGATCTCCCTATCTTAAGTGTTTTTTTCGTAAAATTGTTTAGAAAGTTGGCCATTGACTAAGATAGTATATGATGTAGTGCCCACACATTCCATCACCCATCTAATGAACTTATGTAGAAACCCCAGACCCTTTAAAACATTAGTAAGAAATTGCCAATTGATTGAGTCATAGACTTTCCTCAAATCAATTTTTAGTGCACACCTAGGAGAAATGTGCTTCCTCCCATACATATGGACAAGCTCTTGAACCATGAAGATATTATGGACTATATTTCTACCCTGAATAAAATTTCCTTGATTCTCACTCATAATCAGGGGAATAACTCTCCTTAGCCTATTAGTATGTTATGGTGTTTTCAATCACCAAAGTGCAACCCTTTGCCAGCAATGGACGTGTGTACTTCTACATGCAATGCCCAAATAAAATTGGCGGCCAAGACCAGCAATGATCCCGACTTAGCCGACTCGCCGAATCGACATCCCCTTATGTCGACTCGAAAGGTGGTATTTGTCGGTCTTCTTGTCGAAGACAACTTACGATGAGCCTACTTGACTGGTTATTTGACGCCTCGAGAGGTCGACTCGAAAGGCGTTACTTCTCAGCGAAGCTAAAGGAGTACTTCAACCTCAAGCCTCTCCCATTGACTACGTATCAGCATCGCATTTAATGCTTGGCAGACATTATCATGCCTCTAGCCCCGATAGTCTTCATGACTCATCGGACCATGTCGGCATCGCCATGCCCCCTGATCACTTCTCATTCAATGCTGAGGTGATCTCTCCGCCACTCACCGAGCGACAGCTGTAAAGTAGGTGCTGATACAGCCGTCAGCCCATACTTCTTTATCGTCATCCTGTGCTCGGCAACAATGAACATTCTCTTAGAAAAAAGTAATCAAAGTTATGAGTTATAAAATCCAAAATTAAAGTAAACAGTAAAACTGGCCTGACGGGAGCAGTCGTGTAATCACTGCCCTAGAAGATGGAGGACACGCTTATCGCCCTAACGCAGATGATCCCCTCTCTCCTAGCGGTAAAAATCCCCGGAAGTGACCGACCTCTATACTCAAGGAGAGTACAGAGCTTCAGCTCAGATGAAGAAGATTGCCCATAAAAATAACAAAATTTTAAGAGGAGAAAAACAATTTCTTTAAAACTAGAGGAGAAGAGAAAAGCTTTATATTCTTATGTTTTAGAATGTGAATAAGGGGTGTATATATAGGGTTGACGGAGAGCGAGTTTATTTCATTTTTTAATGTGAGACTAAACACAAAGGTATAATTGCCTTTTCTCAATAAAATATCCAACAGTCCTCCCTAAAAGGTAATATTGACTGAAAACTCAAAAATCAATAAATAAATCAATAAATCACAAAACAAATATAGGTTGAGCAACCTTTCGTATCGTGAATTCAGGAGAGGTAGCTTTCGGCTTAGAACATTTGCTTAGTGAGTTCATCACTACCCGAGGGACATAATAGACTAGGCCTTGAATTAGCCCCCTTATACCAGGTATTGATGAAAATACACACAATACGTCTTCATCTATTGAGCAAAGCGGGTTGAGCGATTAAGGCCATGCTCACAATAACCATTTCATGAGAGTTTCTAGGGGTTACCCTCCCAACCGTGGCCATCATGATTCCTCTCACGTTAGAAAGTTCTCCAAGGGTACTGTGACTGGATATTGCACGCACTTATTAAGAGTAAACCTCATCCTGCCCAGTCCCATCATAAGAGCACTGTCACCATAGGAATGAGGGAGTAGCTAACATGGTGCAAGTCATAAATGCATCCAACACTACAAAAGGAGTATAACTTCGAAGGTCAGTGCTCCACTTGAGATCACCAATCCAGCTTGTTTTTACCACATTGAACCTTTTTCATGAGAATAATCATCAATCAAAGGTTGAGTTCCCGCTGCCAGTGAACTCTACTATTGGCTTAACCACATTCCCCTCAATGATTCTAAAATTGCACTTCTAGATAGACCCTTAGTCAAAAGGATCAGCAAGATTCTTCTCAGACTTTACAAAGTCCAGAATCATAACTTTGCCTAGTAGGCGTTGTATAGATTTATCAAGTCCTCTATTTCTTAAGTTATTTTAAAATTAGTCTTTCATATTATTTGAAATTAATATTAGGTCCCCTTCTTGTTAAGTTATTTTAAAACTAGTCTCTCCAGGCAAGAGTACAAGTAGCAAGAGGAGAGATTAATTTAAAACAACTTATAAAGATAAAGGAACCTAATAATAATTTTAATTTTTGATGGACTAATTTTAATATAACTTCAATGATTTTGAACTTTTATTCATCATATAGATAGAAGATATAAGATATACATCTTGATTTGATTTTCCAGGACATTGATTCATCACATCTCCTGTAACTAGGCATATTGGTTGACAGAGCATATTTATATCAACTCTAATCATTTCCTGAAATCTCAAGGGAAAGCATTATACATGTAGTCAAATTAAAGCTATAAAATGATTCTTTCTAGTCACTATCAAAACATGTTAGCATAGTTATTGATGTCTCTTATCAAGTAACAATGGATAATAATAATTAGACATTTTCATTTTAAATGTCTGAGCAAAATTTGATATGCGTTCATATCAAGTAGAAATTTTAATGATCAAATATTATCAAGGAAGGAATAGAAAACAAAAGCACAAAGCGTTTGCCATAACTTCCGAGTTCTTTGGGAACACTATATGTTGTACATTTAAAGTACTAAAGCCTAACATTGCTA